AAACGAGACCCCGGGGACAAAAACTGAAGAAATCCCGGATTTTCACAGCAGGCAGTATAGATCTGAGCGCGCCGCGAGTACCCAAAGTTGCCCAAAGTTGCAGCACGCTGAATCGAGCGCCGTAGGCACGCCGCGGCCGCCGCAGGCATCAGCACCACAACTTCATCTCTCAGAAACTATTCATCTAACGTTTTGGCGCTCGAGCATCGGTGCCCAGCGAGTAACAAATCAAACACACGCCACTGGTGATTGATATGTAGACTATGTGCGAAGTCCACATTTTTGCATACCACATTTGTATTCTACAGAGGTATCCCAAGTAAAGACACGGCACTGCCGCCACAAGCATTGGCGTCGCACGTCAATATCTCGTGCATTCGCGTCTATTTTTTGTAGCAGTAGCTATGGGTGAATCAGCTAACACAAAAAAAAAAAAACTGCATTGTAAAAAAAAAAACTGCAAGTGCCCCATGATAGACTATTTTTGTACAGCAGTAGGTGGTGCTGTGCAGCAGCAGCAGCAGCCCACACTTGTGTAGACTATATCCAGGCTTAGATCGATAGATGGACAAGCTGGTGCGAATTCTCTGCACATTACTCTCTCGCTTTTGCTCCCCAGCATTCTCTTTCCGTATCTTTAGCATGTTATCCTTGGTTAATGCAGGTTGTACAAACAGCCTTGACGCATCTAATCTACATGCGTTTTTTCCATACGGCGACATCCATGAGATCTGTCCCCCTCCCTTAATGGAGGTGGAGGCGCCGCACACACACACGCCTAGTAGTCGTGAAAGGCAGAGGTAATAAATCTTTTGTACTCGTACCGTTCCGGCTGTACAGTTGAATATATATGTACAGACAACAAACATGGGACCCTGAAAATCTGTGTAGTCTAAACTATTATTTGCTGCCAACACAGACAACAAACGTTGGAACCCTGGAATTGTGGCCAACACTGGCATTAGAAAGAAAATATTAACAGCACAGAGAACCCCCATACGGCCACCCCCATACTACTGCAACAACGCGACACTCAGAGCACCGGGGCCTAAGCACTATGGGAAGCACTCCATTCACCTGGTATGGTACTCGCGGCGCGCTCAGATCTATACTGCCTGCTGTGAAAATCCGGGATTTCTTCGGTTTTTGTCCCCGGGGTCTCGTTTAATAAACGATACCCATGGGGTTCGTTTACCGGCTCCCAATATATACGAATACCACTTTTGTTTTGTTTTCCGCTCCGGGATAGTTCAATGACCCTTTCCAGCAAGCTTTTTAGTAGCAATTGTAAAACTGGCGCAGTACGGGGCTTTGGAGGCCCCGCAGATGCGATATTTACTTTAATCAAGTAGTTGGGGAAAAATCAGGAGGCGCCACACTTCATGGCACAAAAACTGAAAACTTCACGCCGTTTTTACGAGTTCGACTTTGAAACTTTGCACACATGTGCCTTGGGTTAGTACGAAACTTTGGATCGAGGGGTCTTTTTTTTTTCTCCTAACGCCGAATATCCGGGGTCCTGCAAGTTTCGGGGTCGTATGCGGCTCCTAGGACCCCGAATATCCGGCGATAGGAGCAAAACATATAATAGATCCGTCCATCCAAAGTTTCGTACTGACCCAAGGTACATGTGTGCGAAGTTTCAGTCTAACTCCTAAAAACGGCGTGAAGTTTTCATGTTGAATATCTTGTATCCATTTTCCCTAACGAGCTTGTATGTACGCGTATCTACGGGGCCCGAAAGATTCGTCCACAGGAAGTATATACAGCAGCAGATAAAACTCGAACTCGAAGAAAGGAAATGACAAAGCTCGGTGCTGCCGTAGTCTGCACCCGGTCGAGACGTCGAGACCCAAACACGCTCGAAACGCTGCCTGTAATCAAACCAAACCCACGAGGGCATGTACAAGAATGTTCGTCGAAGGCATGTCTTTGTCGTTATACTTGGTGCTCCATGCCTTGATAGCACTCGGATCTTAAATTAGTCTGGCGGGAAACATTGTTGCGTTCGGACAAAGGCAACCACGCCAGTCGCTCGCCGCCAAGGCGTGAACGAACCAAGATACTCTGCCGCAACACTGCGAAAGAAACTAGCTGTCGTTCGCTGTCGCCGGTTGTCGTCGTCAGTAGGAGGAGGCCCCATCCCTTGGAGACCACAAACGGCGCTCGACGCGGTCCTTCTTACTCTCCACACGAGACACAACAAACACCTTCTTTTTCCGTGTCAAGCCCGCCCCATCACGTCTCCACGCCAACCCTAGGCTTTAAGCCTCCCTTGGCCTCTGCGCCGGATCTCGGCCGATCGAAGCAGCAATGGTTACATTCACTACCTGCCGCAAATTTCGGGCTGAGGTTGCACCGGTATCAGGTGAGGTTGCTCTCTCGCTTTGCCGAAGCGTAGCTGGCCGGCGACTGCCCCAACGGGTTCGATTTAACGTATGCCTGTTGGCAGGTCACGGGGATTTGCACGCGATACGGCAAAGGCAAGGAGGCCAGGAGGGGGGGGGCGAAGAACAGGAATCAGCCGGTATGCATTTCTGTCTGCATTTGAACCGCCGGAGCTTCCATAAGCCTACCCTTACCCCGCCTCTTCCCCGAAGCGCGAAGAACGCGCCCGCCGACCTTAAAAAATGTGTTTTCCGGAAAGGTGTACTCTCGTGCGCCAGCTTTGATCGTACTCGTGCTGCTGCTATTTGGGCGATGATTCGTTATGAGGGCGATCATACTGCTTGTGAGGGAGCTACTGTATCTACAGTAACTGGTATCCCAAGGTCTTCGGAGGAGTCGGATGGATACGCAGTAGGCATGGATTTTTTTTGTTCCCCGGCGCTTCCCGTTGAGACCTCGCTCAAAACCACACCGTCGGAATAAGACGCAGATTTTCCAGACGGGACTACGCCCGCCTAAAACCAATGCGAGGCTTGGAGAAAGCAAGTGGCGGCATACAACAGTAATAAGTAGCCAGGGCGCTTTGACAAGCAGCCATAAGCATATTCAGGCAACGGCTTGTAGCGAAGCTCTCAATCATATAGAGACCGCTGATACAAGGCAATGCGTACGACTTGTGTGCTGTGTTGTGCTTTCTGTTTTCGACAAGGTGGTTTTTTGGTGGCGTTCTTTACATTTCCAGTTGCAGTGACGCAATATAGAACCCCACCCCCGTTGAAGCGGCGACAAAAAGCTAACCCCAGCCGGACAACGAACGCAGTAACCTCCACCACCTACGTAGTGCGGCCAGCGTTCGGCGATCCACGGTCCACAGGCTAGAGGCAGGAGGCGCATCGACGCGCGCGCGACGCCCTTTCGACAAATCGAGCCCTCACCACCGGTACCTACCTTCGGGAGGACCTTCGGCTCTGTTGACGGGCAGGCAAAGCGCCCGTGAAGACATCACACACACCCAAGGGTCCCTCCCACCCACGCTGGGAAAGGGCTCGGGGCAACACATCTATTTAGCTGGACCGCCTTCGGGAGGATATAAATAGAGGGGGGATCCTTCGGCTCCCTATCTCTGTATCCCTAACCTTTTCCGCGCCCCGCACCCCCTACTTAAACCAAGCTTGAAGTCCTAGGGAAGGCTACTGAGCTACCATAAAAATGCTGTTCGTGACGCTATCTCATTAAAAAATGGATCTACAAAAACTTGGACAAACTGGTCGCCCGATCAACTTCTTTCGGGTTTGCCTGCTCCCAGAAAACGGTGCCAGTATGTACCAGGGTGTGGTATTTACGTCATGCCACTTTCGCTTTATTATAGTCGTTTTCATTCTCGTAATGCAAGTAGGCTTGTGCTCCAGTAGGCGATTGCCTTGTACTTTTACTGTCGATTTGGGTCATCACACTGATTGAGTCGTGAGTGAAGAGAGTCGCAAAAATACAAGGGAGCACAAGCCTACATACACGCTAGGCTTTTCTCATGATAAAACGTGATCCCTTGAACAACCACAGCCAGAGCGCGCCAGCAACCAAACCACTCGTGCACCTGTAACCGGGCCAGCATGGGCGTGTCCACGAAGGCCGGAGGATCAGCGTTGCCGGTGATGAAGTTGAAGATGTCGACGGTTTCGAGATTGAGGATGTCCTCGTAGCTGTCCATGTCCGCCGCAGAGAGCCCGGCCACGTTCCTTTCCGCCCACGTGCCCAGCAGCAGGTCAACCTGGACGGGCACACACCACCAACATCAGGCGGCAACGACGACGACAAGTAGTCGGCACGAAAACGACGACGACCGTACGGGAAAAGGGAACAGCCGTGGTGAAAGTGTTGACTCGATTGATCGAACGTGGCGCATTCTGGGCACATGGAGGACAAATCTTGATTCTCGCGAAAATAGTTTCATGTTGTACCGGTTCGTCTTGTTGCGGTGTAGCCGTAAGTGCAGCGAGTTCCATCCTTTCGCCGTGATTCTCAAAATTATATTTCCAACAGCCCTACTCCGCCGGCCACAATGACGATGAATCTTGCCCCAAGCGCCCAGCAGGTTCTTCCCTACACACACGGAAGGACACAATAGATGCACTTCTTCGTACGGTGGAAAATACTTACCACCATTCTTATGCTCCTGAACGGGTGAAACGGCAGCGGGAGGAGGAAGGGGGGGGGTGAGGGAGGGGCAGTTCTGCGACCAGGACTCACCTCAAGCCAGCCTCGCTGCTTGCTCCTGTACACGAGCCGCTTTCTGCGTACCGCGTCGGGGGTCACGGACGCTTCGTGCCCGCCGGGGGGGAGGCTCGCGTCCGGGAACTCGGTCGTCAGGGCCACGTGGTCCTTCCACATCTCTTGGGTACGGGCACCGACCCGTAAAACCTTGAGTCGATCCGATCGCGTAGCAGTCAGTCACCGGCAAAGCGGTAGGTACCGTGGTGGGTACCGTAAATGACACAAGATAACACACCCCTTGGACCGATTTTCAAATCTCGATTTCTCAACAACGGAAAGAGTCACGGCGCCGAAAACGGCGGCGTTGGAACCGTCTTGTCGAGAGCGTTCCAAAAATGTATCGTTTCGTTTATGCATCCTCTTTGTTGTGGAGTAATCAAGCTTTGAAAATCGGTGTCAGGGGGTGTGTTATCTTGTGTCATATATGGTAGGCTTGTTGGTGTTGGTGGTGGTGTTGAGTACGAGCACCCAAAGCCGCTTGCTGTCTGCCGAGCTTATGTAGTGGCGCATCTAAGGGCGGCTGCCATGGTCGAGAGAGATCGTGTCAGGTTTCATTTCGAGTGGAGGCCGGCGCTGTTTTTTGCTGTATCTACAGGGGTAACTAACTGTTGGGGACATGATCAGACGTACAGCAGCATAAGAATTGCCGGTACAGCTTCTTGGGGCCAAGCAAGGCGTACGAGACTACGGTAGCCAGGAGGGTGGGGTTGCGAGGATACAAGGATACAGCTGACCAACGCACCACACACAGCAGTTCACCAACAGCAAATCGCGGGCGGGGGGGGTGGGGAGGGGCAAGCGCCCACCCTAAGAGTCTTGTGGTACACAATACGGAGTGTACAAAAAAGCAGGACAGAGACGAGCATATTTTCAGAAAGTATACATCAACTCACAGAAAGACCACCGTACATACGTACACCAACAACAAGCGTCATATTTAGAGGAGAGCCCAGAGTATAAGACATAGTAGCATTGGAAACAGCAGCATGTTGGTTGAAGAATAGAATGGGGAAGTTGGGTTATGGTTAGGGTTAAGGAATAGGGTCTGGTTCCCCCCTCCCTATTCTATTTCTTAATAAACTTTTTAAGGGCCTGCATTAACGTTTATTTTTGTCACCTAAATTGAGGCCCTGCAATAAATAAGTTTCGGGGGGGTGCCGGGGGCCAAAGATGCTGATAGGTCAACAGGAAAAAACACGATGAGGCTTTCTCTGCCCGGAAAAGCGGGACTTCTATATTGGGTGCAGCAAAATACAATTGCAAATTGAAATGTTTTTTGTTGAATCGAAGTACTCGAGCTGCACTGCGCCCCTTTTGCAACCCCCGTGATGAGCTGAACTCGTGCTGGCGTTATTACCCAGACGGGACTGTATGTGGCACACTGGCCGTGCGGCACTCACACGCATCGCCCACTGCCCGCTGCTGGGAAATAGCTGTATCGCAATGATTCTGTGAGCGTGCCAACTATTCGCGCTGATTGGGTTGCTGTGGAGGTTGCCTTCCAACATGTGCGACGTCAATAGTCAACGGCCGGTTGTGTGCAGCGAGACGGTCCAAACCATAGTTGTAAGGCAAGCCTGAGAATGAGGGTTGGACCGCTGGCACCGCCTGCTGATGCTTGGCAACGTGTGTGTGCTGATATATTTTTACGGCTCCCGCGTGGTGCACATGGTCTATCGCTGTACCTGGTTGGGTCACCATGTCACCTCGCGGCAGCGATTCCGCCGCATTTGGGTGTGTTGCTAGAGTTCGGTGTTGCAAAATGCGTTAAAACGACCTTTTTGGCCGAAAACCCAAATTGGTTCATCCAATTTAGGTATTCAATGTAGGTGACAAAAATAAACGTTAATACACGGCCTAATCGCGCGAAGGCGGTCAATCGGACACCACCGACGGTGTGATGGACCGTCACACCCGCGGTAGGCATGAAACACGTCAAAAGGCAGAACCCGTCGGCAGGGTTTGCTTGCCACCTTGCTAGTACAGTTGGCACTAGGCACCATACAGTTGCTGCTCAACGCAAGCCCGTGCTCGTGTAAGGCAGGTCCGCCGCTGCCTGTTTTGTTCCTGCGATGCTGCTGACTCGATACTATTTTCATGCCCACGCTTGCAGGCAACTACTATATATAATATTAAAGAGGCGGCCCTGTCACTTTACTTAACGGTCGTTTTCGGAGACAAGTACATAGATTAGGTCTACAGCTTTAGCATTGAACCATGTCCCCACCGAACAACCTTACAGCTCCGGCTTACCTCCTCTGGGGTGAGCTCACGCTGCAGCTCATCTCCACCTGACCCCGGTTGCCTCTCTCCCTCCCAGTCCTTGGCTCCGCCTCCGGCGGTGCTAAGTCGCCGGTAGCACCGCACCGCACCTCCGCCTCCTCCGCAGCATCTGATTGTTGCTATCGGTATTCTCGCCGCCTGGGCAACGACCGCCTTCATACCTGCAAGCATCATCTCTCTCTTCCCTGGTCAGACAAGCAGTGGTGTGTTTGTTTGTGTAGGGCGCGAAGTGTCGTGCTTGGCAACACGACAGGACACACCGCGTTGGCACGCAACTTTACCTTCGCCAACACAACTCTTGAAGGGGATACCCGAAAGTGATAGCGTCCATTTTGAGGGTGCATGAATCTTCTTAGCTGGCGGTCCCCTCCGCAGAAGCGGCAGCGGGGCGGCGGGGCCAGCAGCGCACACTGCTGTGCTTGGTCTGTCGAAGGAGAGGGAAGGAGATTACTTCCACAACAGTAGCTGCTCGAGTATCGCGCGATTGGGCTGGGGAGCAGCATCGGTGAAAGCGCGTTTGTTCCCGGCCAACCAAGCAGAACCCAAGAGCTATTATACCAGAGATCAACCAACACCCGCAACGGACAAAACGTTCCAGCAGCAGCTGTGCAGGCAGAAGGGAACAACCAAGGCAGGGTTACTTGGCCCGACCTGAGAGCGTGCGTTGCGCCTGAGCTGCACGTTTTTTGGCGCTTCCGTCCGAGACCATGACTACGCGACAAGCGGAGCCGTACGACCACCTCTTCAAGCTGTTGCTGGTTGGAGATGCTGCTGTTGGAAAGAGCAGGTGATGTGCTGCTGTAGTACCGTAGCCAGGGGGAGGTAACATCGGTGTCCCAGAGCACTTTTGCGTAGAGGCGAAAAGGGTGCCGTCTGTTGCTGTTATTCTGCAGCACCAGCAGTATAGCTGTCCTTCCCGTGGCTGCCATAGACTGGTATTCTAATCCTCCGGCCCCAAATATTGTGCCCCTTTCGAAGGTGCTGCGGTTTCGTCCGCTCGCCGTGGGGAACGAACGCGTTGAAGTTTCATTAGTTCCAGTTTTGTTCGTGTTTTTCTCTCTTGCCGAGAGCTGTTGTCGGAAGGGAGCCCCCAAGATCTGGTTGTGCTCGTCCGTCCCTTTAGCGCGTAGCCTTTGCAACTAACGTACTGCTGTTGTAGTGCTCTCTGCTGCACTGTTTTCTGGCCTCGAGGCTGGGACATCTTGATTCCTTTTAAATACAATTAACAACGACGGAGTGAGCAAGATTAGGCTGCACTTCACATTTAGCAAAATATTTCATTTCAGGATCTCTACAACAAGTCAACTGCGACCTCTGCGTTCTTGCCCACGCGCAATAAATAGTTGCTAGTGACTGCTACGGTCGTTTCTTCCCCCCCTCACCGTGTTTCTGGCTGGAACAGCATCATGTTGCGATTCACAGACGACACTTTCGACGATCATCTGCAGAGCACCATCGGGGTCGACTTCAAGGTGGGCATCTAGGTACACGTTGATGAAACAAGGTAGCCAGCCGTCTGTGTAGATCAGGATTTGACGAGAGATAGCCAAGGCATGGAATTGGCTCACTTCCCATACATCGGGGCCAACAAAAATGGTTAAAATATTTTGAGCGAAGCGTGAAAAAGAAATGGCGGAGAGAGAGGCAAGCGGCGTAGATAGATAGTGATGGAGCCCAAGCCACCGCACGGAGGCCACCGCCGCCACTGCACACGCTCACACATCACCCGCCACCACCAGCCAGACGTCAACACAGGACCTCTGGACCTCTGCTCTACAGCAGAACGGGGACGAATGGGTGTTGTTTGATGGTTTAGACGAGAAGCTCTCAAATCTTCTGGTTGCTGCTGCTGCTGCTGCTGCTGCTGCTGCTGCTGCTGCTACTGCTGCTGCTGCTGTCTGTGTGGATGTGCACTAATACTTGCTTCTCTCCCTAACGATGCTATTTAGCAGCAGGCAATAGGCTCTAAAAATCGCCCCCGACGCCCCTTTTGTGCGTTTTATTTGGTCGCCCTTCGCGTACAGCAGTGTGTAAGTCTCATTGTCTCTCTGTTTTGTTGTGGATCCAAAGATCGGCCTGCCGACAGGCAACGAGGCAGACAGGCCGCAGATTGATATGACTTGTGTGCACTCGACAAGACATTCCAGGCCATTCCCCGCCTGCTGAGCCCCTTCCTGGGCCCGCTGCACCTGGACACCAAGACTTCGCCTCCAATGGGCACCAGCAGCGATGCCGCGCCCGTACCCGGGGAAGGCGAGGGCGAGAGTCCCAAGTAGTCCGGACGAAATCTTTCTTTCAAGCAGCGTGCTCGTGCTCGTGCTCGTGCTCCCTCAAATACGCCGCTTGGGAGAAAGATTTGGTCCGGACTACTTGGACTCTCGCCTTCTCCTTCCCCGGATGCACGTGCGACGTCGTTGCTGGTGCTCGTTGGAGGCAAAGCCTTGGTGTCCAGGTAGGTGCAGCGGGCTCAGGAAGGGGCTCAGCAGGTGGGGTTTGCCCTGGAATGTTTGTTTGGTGTTGGGTAAATGAGCCCCCAAAACTGTCTGCCCTTGTGTTTTGGTGTTGTTTTCGTCCTATTTGTTACGCCGACAGTCCCCACTTTTCGTGGTAAAACGTGGACTACACTTGTCAGTGTATTTTTCCGTACAACTACAACCATCCAGGGTCACACAGGAGGGGGTTGACAAGGGGCCTTTGTCTCCTTTTTTGTTTTCGTGCCCCACCTTCGTCCTGCGGCGCGTGCTGAGTTTTATTGTTTATCGCGAGAACGTTCCTGCCGTCCCTTTCCCTCTTCAAAGGTGCTCACGGCGAAGTTTGGTACTCACACAATGTTCAGTCTTTTCGCTTTCTTCACTCAAATTTGTAATTTTGCACTCCATCGGGGAACCGAAATCACGACTTCGCCACTAGCGGTTTCGAGGTCACCACAAAGCCACCGGGGCGACCAGGTTCTGAAATTATAGAAACAGTCGAAACAAAACAATATTCCCATGATCCGGGTTATCGGGGAGAAACGTCAGCGAGTCTGCTCTAAAAGTATTTGTGATACCATGACATAGGGTTGTCTGACCAGACGTGTAGCCTTATACTGATGGGATAAACAGGGCAAACAATTTTGAGCCACCTTCGGCAAAGCAGGAAGGAACGATTGGCCATCGGTGATCGGTCCTGTGGGAATCAGGAATGCTCCGTCCTCTCGAGAACGCGTGGATGGTCAATCGTCTAACAACTAACAAGGCTACAAAACATGAGTCGCCCCCATCCAGTGGGAACAATGTTCCGTCCTCTGGAGGACATGAGTTCAATGGTTTAACCGCTTGGGCATGCGATAACTTGAGAGACCCCGCCACCGCCGCCACCACCATTTCGGCCGACTATTTTGTGAAAACTTCTGCGTTGTTTTTTTGTTTCTCCGCAGTAATGGAAACACTTCCAAGTACATGTCGACCAGCTGGCACGCAGGGGTTGAAGCTTAGAAAGAGGTCCTGTTTTGACAATGGTTAAACGCATTGGAGTGGAGGGAGGCACCTGTTTCTTCCCCCCTCTCCGGTCACACGCATGGTAGTTGTTGACGAGACCAACTCACAAAACGATTCCTGAGCTGTTCTACCGAGACACAAATCAAGGAACGGGCACCCCTGCAGGAGCCAACGGGAGAAGTAGCCCTCTTTGTTACCCCCCCCCCCCGCAACCACCCTCGAGGCAGTTACACAGTGCTTGTAACTGTCTCTGGAAGTGAAAGCACCAGAAAGTAAGTCAAGTCATACGCAGCTGTCATCCGTACGCAAGGAAGTAATAACACGATGCCGAACACCCTTAACAGGATGCAGCGCACCCTTCATGCGACTCGCCGAATATCTCACGGCGCTTCGCGCTTGGTGATGTGAGAGCCTGGTCCGGTGAGAACCCGGCGTGCTCCGTCCCGGCTTTGTTATCCTTCATACTCCTTTGTTGCCTCAAGGCATCCTCTCAATTGTTGTTGCCAAATTAAGTCATACGCANGCAGTTACACAGTGCTTGTAACTGTCTCTGGAAGTGAAAGCACCAGAAAGTAAGTCAAGTCATACGCAGCTGTCATCCGTACGCAAGGAAGTAATAACACGATGCCGAACACACTTAGCAGGATGCAGCGCACCCTTCATGCG